GCACCCCCTTTGCCCCTTCTCCCAGGATACAGATCCCTCCCAGACTCTGCAACCCTGCCTAGAGCCCCTCCCCCAGCCAAAATCCTTTCCTGCTCCCCAATCCCCTGATCCAGGTCACATCCCCCTCCTTCACCCAAACTCCCTCTCCAACCCCACATCATCTCCTGCACCTCAGTCCCTTAACCCATGCACCCTTCTGCACCCAACCTCCATCCTAGACCCTGCACCTCCTCCACAGAAAAGTGCAGCCCTTGACCACTTTCCAAAATCTCTCCCTTTGTGACTGCCCTTTCCCTCTCCGTGGCCTTGGGGGTCTGCCCTCTGGCACCCACTCTCCCCCTCACCTCTTTGTCCCCGGGTCCCCTGCACTCTCTCCTGCCCCCAGGACCAGCTCCTCCTCCTGCCCGTCTGCTTCACTGGCATTTGTCCCTCTCATCACAACAGTGTCCCCTGGTGCAAGCCTCTGCTCTCTGTGCCTCACTGCCTGCCCCTTCTCTGCCCTCTTAGTCATGATGCCCCTCACACACACACACACACACACACACACACACACACACACACACACACACACACACACACACCACATCTCTTTCCTTTGGCACCAGCCCTGCCTCCCATGCTGAGTTCTAACCCCTCCCATCACCCATTCTGCCCCCTGCACATGCTCCTCTCCCCACCCCTTCAGTATTCTGGCACCTGCCCCTCCTCTACCCACTGGTGGCTGCCCCTGCCCCAACTAGCCCTTCTGCACTAGGCTCCTGCCTCTTCCTGTTCCCTGTCCCCACCCATTCACTCTCCCCATGGTTCTTGGCACCTGCCCCACTCCTCATTCCCCTGCCTCCAGCTCCTCTCTCCCCCCTTGAGTCCTCTGCCCCACTGGAGATTGCCAATTCCCTCACACCTCTTTGCACCCTGGTGCCTGCCTCTTCTCTGGCTGCATTGTGCCCCCAGGGATCTGCTCCATTCTTCTGAATTGGAGTCAACTGCTCTCCTCCCCCCTACAGTCTGCCCCTCCCTGTCTTCCTGATGCCCACTCCTCTTGCCCCACCCCATTGCCCTAGTGCCTTCACCTCCACCCCCTGCTCTGACTGACACCTTTCCACCCCCCCTCACTGCTTCTGCACTTCCTCTGCTCAGTCCCCTCACAGGCACAGGGCCCAAGACTCCCTGCAGGCAACTCCCCTCTCCACACCAGTGATTAATGGGAAGGCAGGTGAATTTCCCACTGATCCCAGAGACCCACCCCCTACCCCAGGCCCTGACTTTGTGACTCTCCCCAGTGAATGTGACTCTGGATCCAGACACGGCTCATCCCAAACTCGTCCTGTCTGAGGATCGGAAAAGTGTGAGATACGGGGACACGCGGCAAGATCGGCCTGACAAGCCTGAGAGATTTGATACTTGCCTCTGTGTGCTGGGTGCCGAGGGCTTTGCAGGTGGGAAGCGTTACTGGGAGGTGGAGGTGGGAGACAAGACTGCCTGGGACATGGGGGTTTGCAGGGAATCTGTGCACAGGAAGGGGAAGGTAGCATTTACACCTGATGACTACTGGAGACTCACACTGAGGGATGGGGAATACAAGGCCCTCATCTCCCCTTCTACTACCATCCCTGTAAGCACCAGGCCCAGCCGGGTGGGGATTTTCCTGGACTACCAGGCAGGTAAGGTCTCATTTTACAATGTGACTGACAGGTCCCATCTCTTCACCTTCACTGACATCTTCTCCGGGATGCTCCGCCCATATTTCAGTCCCTGTAACAACACTGAGGGTACAAATGTGGCTCCCCTGACAATCTGCCCTGCCCCAGCCCAGGAGGGAGGGAATCTCAATAAGGTGGAATGAGGTTGTCTGTTCCAGCTGCCCTGGCTCATGTTACAACAGGGGCTGCACCATGTGGGATCAGTGGGAGATGCTCTTATGTCACTGCCTTTGCTCTCGCTGCTGGGATAGAGCACCATGGGCAACTGCAGAGTGATCTGCAGTCAGTTTGGTGGGTCTTCACTAAACCTGTTATATCCATCTCCGGGATAGATTTAATTAATTTCAGTGCATGGATATGGGCTGCTGGGTAGATGGAGCCAGTGATCCCTGCAGCTCAGACTGTTTCCTCCTAGCACTGACTCCAGGCATGTTCCCATGGGGATAGTGCCAAAGGCATGGTCTGCCTTCCCTTCGCACCTTTCCCTCCCAGTCTCCAGCCTCAGGCCTGTGAGTTGGGAGAGGGGGAGAGAATGAAGTAAGGGGTGAAGGCTACTGGAGTGTGGGGTGCAGAGACAGTATGGGGTGATGGCTGCTGGGGTGGAGTCAGCTGGCTGTGGGGGCAGCAGGTTGCAAGCTAGGGGGGCAGGAATAGAAGGTGCAGGGTTTCTGGGGCAGAGGACTTGAAGCTGCTGAGATGTGGCGTGCAGGGAGAAGATGTGTAAATGCAATGCGGGGCTAGCTGCTGTGGCCAGGTGTGGGGAAGGAACAGCAGCCAGAAGAGCAGAGCTGAGATGACGGAGGTGGAGGGGACTAATCAAGGGGGGAGGGAGAGAGGCCCCAAGAAGGAAGAGACCCTGACAGAAATTACAACTGCCCGCCTTTGTCATGTAAACAGACATATCCCAAAATAGCTACCCGGCATCTTAACAAAGCCACCCGTTATTTTGAAATATTTTTCAAAATAACAGATGCGCTATTTTAGCAGCTCCGCAAACCTCACTCCACAAGGGTTAAGGGATGTCTTGAAATACCATATTATTTCAAATTTTGGTGCTGTGTAGAAGTGCCAAATTTCAAAGTATGCTATTTTAAAATACAATTGAAATAAGAGCAACAAATGGAGTATCTTATTTTGAGTTTAGGGTGTTGTGTAGACGCACCCTCTGCCCCAAGCCTCTGCTCTCTGTGCCTCACTGCCTGCCCCTTCTCTGCCCTCTTAGTCATGATGCCCCTCACACACACACACACACACACACACACACACACACACACACACACCACATCTCTTTCCTTTGGCACCAGCCCTGCCTCCCATGCTGAGTTCTAACCCCTCCCATCACCCATTCTGCCCCCTGCACATGCTCCTCTCCCCACCCCTTCAGTATTCTGGCACCTGCCCCTCCTCTACCCACTGGTGGCTGCCCCTGCCCCAACTAGCCCTTCTGCACTAGGCTCCTGCCTCTTCCTGTTCCCTGTCCCCACCCATTCACTCTCCCCATGGTTCTTGGCACCTGCCCCACTCCTCATTCCCCTGCCTCCAGCTCCTCTCTCCCCCCTTGAGTCCTCCGCCCCACTGGAGATTGCCAATTCCCTCACACCTCTTTGCACCCTGGTGCCTGCCTCTTCTCTGGCTGCATTGTGCCCCCAGGGATCTGCTCCATTCTTCTGAATTGGAGTCAACTGCTCTCCTCCCCCCTACAGTCTGCCCCTCCCTGTCTTCCTGATGCCCACTCCTCTTGCCCCACCCCATTGCCCTAGTGCCTTCACCTCCACCCCCTGCTCTGACTGACACCTTTCCACCCCCCCTCACTGCTTCTGCACTTCCTCTGCTCAGTCCCCTCACAGGCACAGGGCCCAAGACTCCCTGCAGGCAACTCCCGTCTCCACACCAGTGATTAATGGGAAGGCAGGTGAATTTCCCACTGATCCCAGAGACCCACCCCCTACCCCAGGCCCTGACTTTGTGACTCTCCCCAGTGAATGTGACTCTGGATCCAGACACGGCTCATCCCAAACTCGTCCTGTCTGAGGATCGGAAAAGTGTGAGATACGGGGACACGCGGCAAGATCGGCCTGACAAGCCTGAGAGATTTGATACTTGCCTCTGTGTGCTGGGTGCCGAGGGCTTTGCAGGTGGGAAGCGTTACTGGGAGGTGGAGGTGGGAGACAAGACTGCCTGGGACATGGGGGTTTGCAGGGAATCTGTACGCAGGAAGGGGAAGGTAGCATTTACACCTGATGACTACTGGAGACTCACACTGAGGGATGGGGAATACAAAGCCCTCATCTCCCCTTCTACTACCATCCCTGTAAGCACCAGGCCCAGCCGGGTGGGGATTTTCCTGGACTACCAGGCAGGTAAGGTCTCATTTTACAATGTGACTGACAGGTCCCATCTCTTCACCTTCACTGACATCTTCTCCGGGATGCTCCGCCCATATTTCAGTCCCTGTAACAACACTGAGGGTACAAATGTGGCTCCCCTGACAATCTGCCCTGCCCCAGCCCAGGAGGGAGGGAATCTCAATAAGGTGGAATGAGGTTGTCTGTTCCAGCTGCCCTGGCTCATGTTACAACAGGGGCTGCACCATGTGGGATCAGTGGGAGATGCTCTTATGTCACTGCCTTTGCTCTCGCTGCTGGGATAGAGCACCATGGGCAACTGCAGAGTGATCTGCAGTCAGTTTGGTGGGTCTTCACTAAACCTGTTATATCCATCTCCGGGATAGATTTAATTAATTTCAGTGCATGGATATGGGCTGCTGGGTAGATGGAGCCAGTGATCCCTGCAGCTCAGACTGTTTCCTCCTAGCACTGACAGGCATGGTCTGCCTTCCCTTCGCCCCTTTCCCTCCCAGTCTCCAGCCTCAGGCCTGTGAGTTGGGAGAGGGGGAGAGAATGAAGTAAGGGGTGAAGGCTACTGGAGTGTGGGGTGCAGAGACAGTATGGGGTGATGGCTGCTGGGGTGGAGTCAGCTGGCTGTGGGGGCAGCAGGTTGCAAGCTAGGGGGGCAGGAATAGAAGGTGCAGGGTTTCTGGGGCAGAGGACTTGAAGCTGCTGAGATGTGGCGTGCAGGGAGAAGATGTGTAAATGCAATGCGGGGCTAGCTGCTGTGGCCAGGTGTGGGGAAGGAACAGCAGCCAGAAGAGCAGAGCTGAGATGACGGAGGTGGAGGGGACTAATCAAGGGGGGAGGGAGAGAGGCCCCAAGAAGGAAGAGACCCTGACAGAAATTACAACTGCCCGCCTTTGTCATGTAAACAGACATATCCCAAAATAGCTACCCGGCATCTTAACAAAGCCACCCGTTATTTTGAAATATTTTTCAAAATAACAGATGCGCTATTTTAGCAGCTCCGCAAACCTCACTCCACAAGGGTTAAGGGATGTCTTGAAATACCATATTATTTCAAATTTTGGTGCTGTGTAGAAGTGCCAAATTTCAAAGTATGCTATTTTAAAATACAATTGAAATAAGAGCAACAAATGGAGTATCTTATTTTGAGTTTAGGGTGTTGTGTAGACGCACCCTCTGCCCTGCAGACTCAGCTGGTCCCAACACACTGTAAAGCGGCGGTGAGGCAAGCTGGCAAAGTGGAGGAGGACCCCAGTTACAGGCCTGTGTGAGTGATGGGCCCAGACAAGGTAGCTGGAACCCCCCACTCATGGGAAGTAGTCCATGCAGATTATCTCCTCCTGTTTTCATAGACTATTTTATTCTGCCTTGTCACAAGTTTTCTGCCCATTTCCCTTGCCGAACCACTGGCTCAGGGCAGCAAATGGTGACGGAGACCTCTTCTGTAAGAATTTCTTACCCCTGTGAGATCTCAGTTTAACATATAGACAGAAATACACATGTTCTAATTTACAAAACGTTGTCACATGATGTAAATGATCCCTCACTGCTAGGATTATTTTTTTTTATTTTAAACTTGATGCAGTATGAACCTGTCAAATGCAATTACTCAGTTCTGAATATGCCATTTCTGGGAGAGTTCCCTGTACTTACCTTGGTTATTTAGAGCACAAAGAAAATAAAGTGTCTGAAAGAAATTAATCTAGATTGCTCTGGGTGTCGTCCAGCACCCTTCGGAAGTCTCTGTAGTAATGATTGACTGGCCTAAATTTCTTGAGTGAGATACATGTAGACGAAGCCACACATGAGGAGAGACACATAACACAACATTGGTCTTCTTCCTCTGCTGTGTGCATTCGTTCAGCACCTGGCACGCTGAGGTGGGGTCCCAGTAGGGCGCTCACATTGCTGGAGAGAGAAGGAGAAATGATGTCACTTAGCCCTGAAATAGACTGTGCTGAAGGGAAATATTCTCATTGGTGTGAGTGGACTTTGGCGAGAGGAAAGGCCGTGTTCAGTGGGAGCCTGGAGGTGTGGACTTTTCTCCTCTCTTGTCAGATTTGGTAGGAACTGCAGCTCCAGGCATTGGGGGCTCAGAGTGGGCCCCAGGGGAGAAGGGAACTGCTAAATGGTCAATACAGCAACAAACCAGCCGCATATCCCAGAGGCAAATGGCAGCAACCAAGAGACCAACGAGCCACGTGTTCCAATGAGCAGCATGAGGCCACCGCTGCTTCTCTCCAGCTGCCGGCTGCATGGCCACCCCCTGCCCCTCTGGGGCCCTCTGACCTGTGCTCACTCTGCTCGCTGCCTTTAGCAAGTGGGGCTGGGTGCAGCCTGCCAGGGGGTGGGGCTGTGGGACACCAGAGCCCATGGGCAGTGCCCAGTGGCAGGGGAACCAGGAAACTTGGGGCAATTTGCTGGCCAAATGTCAGGATATTCTGCACAACTGAAGGGGTTGTGTGTTGGTAGGGCCTATGGTATGTGGAGAGCTGCTACCTGTGAGATTGTGCTACTTAGGGAGAATTTAAAGGCACTGAGTACGCTCAGTAACTCTGCTGAAGCCCCTGCCCTTTGCCCTGCACACTCTAGGTATAAGTATTTGCTGACTTCATTTTAAGGGGCTAAAGAGAGGTGGGGGATGAAAACTGACTGGCCGAGGGGTGGGGGTGAAGCGGATGTAGGCAGGGTTAGGATCAGTACTGGGGCAAACTCAGGGTTGGTGGGGAGAGGAGCTGCAGGTAAACTCCGCAACAGAGAGGGCAAAGCCCCAGTACAGGCAGGGCCACGGCAGGGGGGCTTTTTAATTTGCTCAAAGCTCCTTTTTAATAATTTATTCAAATCAGACTCAAGACTCCATGCAGGTGCTTCTGCTTTGAAATGCACAAGAGCCCCTGCTGGAGACTCTTCTACATTTCAAAGCTGGCATGCTGCACAGAGCCCGGGGTCAGCTGGGAAGTTGATTCCAGGCTCCATGCGGCGTTGTCACTTTGAAATGCCACATGGAGCCCGGGGTCAGCTGGGGAGTCCCCAGCTGATCCCAGGCTCCAAGCGGCGCTGCTGCTTTTAAGTCCCTTCCTTTCCTCTCCTCCCCCCCTTGCTGCCTCTAATAGAGGCAGTGGGGAAGGGGAGCGACTAGTCCTTTACATCCCTAGTCTGCAGAGCATGTAGCTCTGTAATTGGTAGAATTTTTAACAGTTACATGCTTACATTTTAGCCAGTGTTTACATCCTTAATATACAGCAGTTTGCACACCTCTGAGGAGGTGACCCAGATAATCAGCCCCCTGTCCTACCCTGCTTTGCCCAGACCCCGCACACTTACACTCTTAGGGTATGTCTACACTACAGCGCTAATTTGAACTAACTTAATTCGAATTAGTTAATTCGATCTAAGCTAATTCGAATTAGTGCATCTTGAATACTGTGTACAGATTTGGTCTCCTCACCTCAAAAAAGATATTTTGGCCTTAGAAAGGGTTCAGAAAAGGGCAACTACAATGATTAGGGATTTAGAACAGGTCCCATATGAAGAGAGGCTAAAGAGACTGGGACTTTTCAGCTTAAAAAAGAGGAGACTGAGGGGGGGATATGATAGAGGTCTATAAAATCATGAGTGGTGTGGAGAGGGTGAATAAAGAAAAGTTCTTCATTAGTCTTTCTATTATGGGAACTAGAGGACACCAAATGAAATGAATGGTCAGCAGGTTTAAAACTAATAAGCGAAAGTTCTTCTTCACACAGCACAGTCAACCTGTGGAACTCCTTGCCACAGGAGGCTATGAAGGCTAGAACTATAACAAAGTTTAAAGAGAAGTTAGATAAATTCATGGAGGTTGGGTCCATGGAGTGCTATTAGCCAGGGGATAGGAATGCTATCCCTGGCCTCTGTTTGTGGAAGGCTGGAGATGGAGGGCACGAGACAAATCACTTGGTCATTGTCTTTGGTCCATCCCTTCTGGGGTACCTGGTGTTGGCCGCTGTCGGCAGACAGGCTACTGGGCTAGATGGACCGTAGAATGAGGTTTGAATTAAGTTCAAACTAGTGGTTTGCATGTATAGACGCTATAAAAGTTAATTTGAACTAACTAATCTCAACTACCCACCCGGAGAAATAAAAAAGCAAATTGAAAGAGCCAGACGAATACCTAGAAACCATCTACTTCAAGACAGACCCAAGAAAACCAACAATAGAACACCACTTGTCATCACCTACAACCCCCAACTTAAACCTGTCCAACACATTATCAATAAACTACAGCCTATATTGGAACAGGATACCATACTCAAAGAGCCTCTGGGAGACAGACCCATAGTCTCCTACAGACAACCACCTAACCTCAAGATCATTCTTACCAACCACCACAGGACATACCACACTAATACCAACCCTGGTACCTTCCCTTGCAACAAACCCCGTTGCCAGCTTTGTCCACATATTCATTCTGCTGATACCATTATTGGACCCAACCAAGTGAGTTATAAGATCAAGAACACATATCCCTGCGCATCCAGAAATATAATCTATGCTATCATGTGCCGAAAGTGTCCGTCTGCTATGTACATTGGACAAACATCTCAGACACTTCGCCAAAGGATTAATGCCCACAAAACAGATATCAGACAAGATCACAAAGAGAAAACAGTTTCTTGCCACTTTAACCAGAAAGGACACTCTCTAAATGACTTAGCCACCTGCATTCTGCTACAAAGACCTTTTACATCTGCACTTGAAAGGGAATCCTCTGAACTGTCATTCATGTTAAAATTCGACACTTACCAACAAGGACTTAACAAGTCTTTGAACTTTCTCACCCATTACCAAGACAGTTTCCCCAATTATCACCTGTAATACCATTAACTCACAAACATCCCACTCTCCCTACCTTTAATATCAGCAATTCACAGACACTTACCTTCCTTCCTCCCCCTTCCCACCCCCCCGCATCCCCCTTCATAATTTCATTACCTCACAGATACTTACCTTCCTTCCTCCTCCCCCCCCCCCCCTCGGCATCCCCCTTCTGTTCTGAAATGTGATTTGTCCTTTTCATATGTGTTCATTTTTTTTAATTGTATCCTTTGGTATATATGGTTGTGACTATTTTCTTCCACTATATGATCTGAGGAAGTGGGTCTGGCCCACGAAAGCTCATCATCTAATAAACCATCTTGTTAGTCTTTAAAGTGCTACATAGTCCTGCATTTTACTTCAGCTACACCAGACTAACACGGCTACATTTCTATTACTAACGGCTGGTAGTTCAAATTAACTTTGTAGTGTAGACATACCCTCAGACCCTGCACCTTCAGCCCCAACCCCCTCACCTATGAACCTCTCTGCCTTCCTTAGTTCCTCCAATTTGGAGCATCCACACTTGCCTTTTCGCACAAGCGCTGTAGCGTAAAAAGGAGTTATGCCTTGTAGAAGGCAGATTTCTGCCTC